AAAGAAAGAAAGAAAGAAAGAAAGAAAGAAAGAAAGAAAGAAAGAAAACCTGGTATTTTCTTTCTGAAGCCCCAAAGCAGTTTCCAGAAAATCAGCCCAAGGGTGAATATAGGAGGGTCCACAGTCTTAAGTCTGTTGATTTGGTGTGTGTGCGCTCGCACGAGTCCAGGAGCATGCTTAGGTGTGATAACCAATAATAGTGTATTTCGTTCATAAAGAATCTAGTCTCACTTCCAGAATTTTGAAACTGCAATCCCAAGGACCCCCAAGGATGACAAGGTCCTGGGCAGGGCAGAATGCTCCTTTCCTAAAAGGAGAAGCTGTCATTCCTTGAGTCAACAATAGAGGGCAGTTGCTGCCTTTTTTATGAAGAACTGAAGACAGTTCAATGGACAAGATTCACACCTTGCTTTGCTGACTGTTCTTAGGCAGATAAAGATAAGAATATTCAGTTTCTTCTTGTCTTGATGGCATCTTGGTTTCCTCATTGTCCCATCAATGCTGTTAGCAGGACCACAAAGCCTCCATGTGGCAAGCCTGGTAGAAACAACAAAAAATTTTTATAAAAGTACATTGTGTCTTTCAATATGACTACCAGACTACTGAAACAATGCACCCCAAAGACATGCGAATTTCTCCAGGAATCTCATTCTTAGAGAAAGAAAAGGCCCTAGGCAGATGAGGGACTTGTCCCCCCCAGAAAAATATTTCATACAGTTCTAACAGTTTGACAGACCACTTTGGAGGATAAGATTACAGCCTAGAAAATGAAGGGCTCACTTTGACCAGGACCACGTACATGGCATATCCTTGGCCAACCTATTAAACTTTAATGTCACTTAAGGATGTGAAAGATAGACTTGGGGGAAGGGATGTCTTTGTCCCTCTTTCCAGTGTGAACACATTGAATAAGTCTTATTCTACTTTCCACTGTTAATTTTGATCTTTTAAAAATACTTTTAGGTTTATCGATTTTATTGTACATGTATGAGTGTTTGAGCGCATGCGGGTAAATATACCGCATGTGTTGAGGGGAATGATTTTTAACAGCACTCTTTGTTACCTGGGCACCCCTTGTTACCTGGAGACTCCATGAAGTTCTCCACCACCACCCCACCTCCCCACAGCCCCCATACCCTAGATCAGCACCAACCAATTAATGAAAAGATTACATAACACACTAAGGAAATCTCTTAACAATCTTTAAATGAAGCCTGCTTGCTCACTTCATCAACATTGCCATTCTATGGAGTGGTGGCCTCAGCATATTGGCAATTTCTGCAGAATAAACACTTCTTGCTTTTGCATGCTACCTGAATCTGAGGTCTTCTTTCAGTGATTCCCGGACCTAACAGTGTGCCTGGTGCCACAGGAGGACAAAGACAGCGTCAGATACCCTGAAACAGGAGTTTCAGGTGGCTTTGAGACACCACGTGAGTGATGGGAACCAAACCCAGATCCTCTGTAAGGGCAGTGGTGCTGTTAACCACTGAGCCATTTCATCAGCCCCAAGGTGGCTGCTTTAATCAGAAAATGAGTGGATGGCTGGAGCTGGCTTTGGATAGGCTATGTTTGATGACACCCATTTGTATTGAAGAAAAAAGCTCTGCATCTGGTTTATACACATTTTTTTTTTATGAGGCAGTTCACAGTAGACATCTTTCTGAATCCTCCTGAGCTTTGGACTCCTCAGGAGTCTCTTCCCTGGGTAACTGTGCCAACCACCTTCCTTATCAGCTTCCTCCACTGTTGGCTTCCTCCAAAGTCAGCTTCCTCCACATTCAGCTTCTTCCACTGGCAGCTTCCTCCACAGGCAGCTTCCTCCATAGTCATCTTTCTCCACAGGCAGAGTCCCCCACAGTCTCCTCCACAGGCAGCTTCCTCCACAGTCACCTCCATAGTCAGCTTCCTCCACAGGCAGAGTCCCCCACAGTCTCCTCCACAGGCAGCTTCTTCATCCTCTATTTGACTCCACAATTCCCTTCCTGCTCTTCCTTTGCCCTTTGTTCATTTGTGGGTTTATGTTCAACACTTGCCCATTCCACATATTTTCCCAAGCACCAAGTGGCCAATCTGAACTCTTTGGCGCTTCTTAGGCCTCTACCTAAGTGCTGAGTGGTCTCTCCAGCCCAAGAATATCTTTTTACAGTCTTTCAGTCCTACGTAGTATTTGTCCTTTATGATAAGGTGCATATTTCTTGATCAATTTTTAAAATCAGTTCTACTTATTTTTATTATTTGGCTGGAGAATTTAGACCATTAATAATCAGTTATTACTGAAAAATATGTACCAATTCCTGTCATTTTGTTGATGTTACAGTATTTGGGTTTTCTCATCCCTCTGCTGCTTAACTATTATACAACTGTGATTTATTTCATTCTTTGACTTCATGTGCGCTTTTCTTTCTCTTCAGTCTGAAAGATTGCTTCAATTATCTGTAGGGCTGGTTGATTGGTCACGAATTCCTCCAGCCTGTTTTTAATCTACTTCTTTTCAATGATGACAGATATGTTCACTGTGCATAGTAGTCTGGGTTGGCAGTGCTTCTCTTTCAGAACTTGAAAAGCATCATTCCAAATCCCCATGGCTTTTAAACTTTCTGATGAGAAACTGCTAGCATCTTGATGGGCCTTCTTTTGTAAATGGCTTAGTCATTCTTTCTTGTCACTTTTAATGTACTTCCTTTGTTCTGTATATTTAGTAGTTAAATTAGAATATTATGAGGGAAGTTATATTTGATCCTGTCTGTTTGGGATTCTATATGTCTCCTGTATCTGGGTTGCTATCTTTTCTTTAGATGTTGAGGATTTTCTGCTTTGGTTTTGCTTGAAATGTGTTCTGTGCTTTCAGAATGAAATTTTTCTTGTACATTAATAGTTCTTACATTTAGTCAATTCATAG